CAGAGGATCTCTCTCTCTTCCTCCCTCTCCCTCCCTCCTCCTCCCTTCCCCTCTCTCCTGCCCTGGATTTGAATATTCCACTCCACCCAATTTTGTTCCTATGTTGCAACTTTTGTGTTTCTACTGTGCTAGGGTGAGGGACTGAGGCATGAAAGGGTTACGGAATGTGCTAGGGGGAGGGACTGAGGTATGGAAAGGTTACTGGGTCGGGTCGAGATTGTGACAGAGAAAAATTGCTAGGTTGTCTCAGAAAACAATGTATTATGATTCAACCCAGCCAGGTGTGACTCTGTTTACCTCCCCTTTGTTCTTGTGAACTTCTAAGGAACAGCTAATGAAATGCTTTGTAGTTGTTTTTTTTTTAAACATTATGTAGATTTTGCAATAAAGGATTTTTCTGTACCCTTGGTCGGCACTGCAGGCTGCGAAGCCCCTTACTGAAGGGACGCACCGTAGTCAGCTGGCCAGCTTAATAAAGGCTCTTAAATTTAAATTCTGAGTCGGTGGTCTATCTCACTGATTGAACCCATAACACTACTTTCCCCCTCTATCTTTCTCTGGATTCTTTGGTGGTTTTTTTTTTTTTTTTTTTTTTTTTTTTTTTTTTTTTTTAATATATTTTATTGATTTTTTACAGAGAGGAAGGGAGAGAGATAGAAAGTTAGAAACATCGATGAGAGAGAAACATCGATCAGCTGCCTCCTGCACATCTCCCACTGGGGATGTGCCCGCAACCCAGGTACATGCCCTTGACCGGAATCGAACCTGGGACCTTTCAGTCCGCAGGCCGACGCTCTATCCACTGAGCCAAACCGGTTTCGGATTCTTTGGTGTTTTAATTGCATCTATTCTCTATGTCCATCTCTGTGAAAGCTACAAGATAGCCATAAAGTCTGGAGACATACATAATAGCTTATTTTTTACAGATTGAACTCCCTTGATTACTTCTTCTGGACTATATAGGTTTGTTCAGTGGAAATGAAAATTAAAGCTAAGTTATATGAGGCAAAGCATCACAGATTCATTTGCAGGAATTGATAGAAACTCTGTAGCACTATTTGCCCTGTAGGTTGATGCATCACATTAAGCATTTCTAATGAGGGACATTATATTGACCATATCATGTAATGTTATTGAACATAGAATATATGATATTGTAATATTCATAAGCCTTCAGTTATGGACGCTCACCTATGTTTCCAGATTTTCTGGCCACTTGTGTTCATTGGTGGATTTTTGTTCTTGCCTTTTCTTTCATTTTGCATTATACATATTTCTTCTTTAGTATGCTCTTCATTAAAACTAGCCCATGTAGCCCTGGCCGATTTGGCTCAGTGGATAGAGTGCCGGCCTGTGGACTGAAGGGTCCTGGGTTCGATTCTGGTCAAGGGCATGTACCTTGGTTGCGGGCACATTCCCAGTGGGGGGTGTTCAGGAGGTGGCTGATCGATGTTTCTCTCTCATCGATGTTTCTAGCTCTCTGTCCCTCTCCCTTCCTCTCTGTAAAAAATCAATAAAATATATTAAAAAAAAAAAAAAACTAGCCCATGTATTAATGATTTAGCTTTGAAGACAAAACCCAATGCTTAAGTGGAGTCTATCAAGAACCAGAAGTTGTAGAACAATTAAGGTCTGTCTTGCCCCGTCTTTGTTTGTCAATGGCCAGAATTTCTGTCCCAATGTAGAGGAAGAAGTTACTCAAGAGAGGCCCCCTGAGCAACACTCAGCATCCATTTAGAAAAATAGTGTATCAGCTACGTCCTTTTTACTTTTCTGGAGCAGTCTGAGAAATTATGAAAGACAATAAAATATCTCTCTACAAAGTGCTATTTCCTGAGCCGTTGAAATGTTTATTTCTTACTCCTTTCTTTCATTTTTCACAAGATTGAGAGACGAGAATTTAGGATTCTCACAACACAAATGAGAAAGTGGATGTCCAGCTAGGTTGTGAATTTCCAAAGCTCACAGTAAGTTGGACCAGATCTGAAAGCAGAAACTGGATCTCTCTGCTGGCTGAGTCTCCTGTCCGTGGCGTTTTATACTGCAAGAAGCTGTCTGGTTAATGTAGAGGATGTGGCTTGCTTATTCATGGCTCTTGGAAAATGAACCTTTCTCTTCCTCCCTTCCTTCCTCCCTCCCTCCTACCTTCAGAACACACACACACACACACACACACACTTCACTTTATTAAATGAGCAAGAGGGGGAAAAAGTCCACAGCAGCCTGCCGTCTGGAATGGCTCAGGTGGTAGCCAGCCACCTAGAAGCAGGGAATGACTGTGTGGTCACTAGTGATTTCAGTGATTCCCCCCCCCCCCCACCAGCTGTCATCACAATTTCCAGAAAAGCTGCCAAGAAAAAGCAGTGATTAGCATTTCACAGGACCCTTTCCCTCCACACTGTTATGGATCTTGGAACTTTTTCTGACTGCTTTTTGCCCACCTTCCCTCCTTCCTCCACCATTCTGGATACAGAGACAAGGCATTTGACCTCACCTACAGTTGAAGAACTCTACTTTGAAGATGCTTCCCTTCTGCCAGAAACCCTCACGGAGACTGAGTTATCGTTCCTTTCCCTAATCTGGATTGTTTCCTTCAAATCAGCACCCTTATGAAAAAGCACCTTATTCCTACCTTCCTTCCCCCCTTTCTCCTGTTGAGCCCTCTCGCTCTAAATAATACACTCAGGCCTCTAGCTCTTGAGGCACTTATCACACTGTAGGTAACTAGCAATTGAAGTGCTTATCTTCACTTCTAAGGAATGTGACTTAATGTATTCTAACCCAGCAAAGTGCCTGGCCCATTGTTGAGACTCAGTCAATCTCTGTTGAACAGAATTTGCCTAACTTGGCCTCAGGCACCTCCCGAATTTCACAGTGTGCTGAGTAAACAAACTGTTCCCTTCCTGTCTGGGGAGACCCACCCAAAGACCAGAAGAGGGAGGTCACACCTCTGCAGAGACAGGGGCTTGACTGATGTCCCCTCTACCTATAATCCAGTGGTTCTCAACCTTCCTAATGCCGCGACCCTTTAATATAGTTCCTCATGTTGTGGTGACCCCCAACCATAAAATTATTTTCGGCCCTGACCGGTTTGGCTCAGTGGATAGAGCATCGGCCTGCAGACTGAAGGGTCCCAGGTTCGATTCCGGTCAAGGGCATGTACCTTGGTTGCGGGCACATCCCCAGTGGGGAGTGTGCAAGAGGCAGCTGATCGATGTTTCTTACTCATTGATGTTTCTAATTCTCTATCCCTCTTCCTTCCTCTCTGTAAAAAATCAATAAAATATATTTGATAAAAAAAATTATTTTCGTTGCTACTTCATAACTGTAATTTTGCTACTGTTATGAATCGTAATGTAAATATCTGATATGCAGGATGTATTTTCATTGTTACAAATTGAACATAATTAAAGCATAGTGATTAATCACAAAACAATATGTAATTATATATGTTTTCCAATGGTCTTAGGCAACCCTGTGAAAGGGTCGTTCGACCCCCAAAGGGGTCGCGACCCACAGGTTGAGAACCGCTGCTATGATCCTATTCCACACTTTCTCCTCTGCCACAGGCTAAGTAAGGCAGTCCTCAAACTTGTTTTTTCCAGACACATTTGTGGGGGCAGAGCTGCTAATAGAACAGGCTATGGACTAGGTAGGGATCAGGGTAGAGGTCAAAGCCTGAACTATCCTATATAATAAAAGGCTAATATGCAAATTGACCAAATGGCACAATGACCGGTCGCTATGACGCACACTCACCACCAGAAGGCAGATGCTCAATGCAGGAGCTGCCCCCTGGTGGTCAGTGGGCTCCCATGGGGGGGCGCCGCTCAGCCAGAAGCCAGGCTCACAGCTGGCAAGCACAGCAGCAGTGGCAGGAGCCTCTCCCACATCTGTGGCAGTCTGACCTCCCCTGAGGCTCCCTGACTGAGAGAGGGCACAGGCTGGGCTGAGGGGCCCCCGCTTAGTGCACGAATTTCATGCACCAAGTCTCTAGTATTATAGAAATCTCTAAGAACGTTAGATTAGAATTTGATATGGATCGACAACGTGTACTAGCTTGATAACCCAAGAGAGGTCCATAGAGGTGGGTTAAGAGTGCTTTCTCTAGCCCTAGCTGGTTTGGCTCAGTGGATAGAACATTGGCTTGTGGACCAAAGGGTCCCAAGTTCGATTCCGGTCAAGGGCACATACCTTGGTTGCAGGCTTCTTGGGTTGCAGGCTCCTCCCAAACCTAGGCCCTGGTCAGGGCTCATGTAGGAGACAACCAATTGATGTGTTTCTCTCACATCAATGTTTCTCTTACCCTCTTTCTTCTACTCTCCCTAAAAATCAATGGAAAAATTATCCTCGGGTGAGGATAAATAAATAAATAAATAAATAAACGGTTTCTTTAAAAAAAGAAAAAAAAAAGAGTGTTGTCTCTAGAGACCTGCTATCTAGGTTCAAATAGTATTTGTGCAATTTTTAAACTATGTAACCTTGGACACATTAATCTCTACTTTATCTCTCTATACCTCAATTTTCTCACCCATGAAGTAGGGATAATTATGGTACCTGTGTCATAAGGTTGTTGAAGGGTTAACTAGGTTAATACATGTTAGTGCTCAGTGTTGTTATTACTAAGGAGAATGGCTTTGGATGGCACCAAATTTATGATGATGATTTTATGTGCAAATGCAGGGCTGAGGCAGAATTAAGTAGCAGGGTCTGGAGAGAGCAGAATGTCTTTGGATAAACGAGTGCAAAGAATTTGGAGTTTAGGGTGGGGGAACAATCAGAGAAGTGAGTAAAGTAGAGAAATAGGGAGAGAGGAAATTTTAAAAGCAATTTCAAATTTACAATAGTAGTTAAGAACAGGTATATTTAATTCAAAATTGCTTATGTTGCTGAGATCTAAACCACCACAAAAATAAAATGGTACAATACTCCTTAGAGAGTAATTTGGCACTATCAAAATTAAAATGTATATATTTTTAACCCTTTAATTCTATTTCCAGGAATTTATCCTACCTTGGTACTTGCAAACAGACTCGTGACCTTTTTGCAAAACCAGAGTTTAGGAACCACCACCTGTCTATCAATTGAATACTATGAGTCCATTAAAAATATTGAGGTAAGGTTATACATATTATACAGTATATCTATGCAATAGAATACTATGTGTCCATTAAAAATATTGAGGTAGCCGAAACCGGTTTGGCTCAGTGGATAGAGCGTCGGCCTGCGGACTGAAAGGTCCCAGGTTCGATTCTGGTCAAGGGCATGTACCTGGGTTGCGGACATATCCCCAGTAGGAGATGTGCAGGAGGCAGCTGATCGATGTTTCTCTCTCATCGATGTTTCTAACTCTCTATCTCTCTCCCTTCCTCTCTGTAAAAAATCAATAAAATATATTTTAAAAAATATATATTGAGGTAAAGTTATACATATTATAGCCAATCTAAAAAAGAGATACATATCTCAGTCAGCGGGGGAGCCTAAGAGTCAATGGAAGCAGCTATGCCAAAGTCCAAAGCCAGAGTCTAAACACCTGGAAGAATTTAGAGGCTTCATATTTGGAGTGGCTGGTGGGGGTAATGAGGGATGAGAATCGCAAAGCCTCCCACAGAGTTGCATGGAGGGAATATCATCATAACAGCAGGTGGGGAATTAGCAAAGGGGAAGGTCCTTGATAATCCCTTTAAAAACATCAGGTGTTTGTAGGTCCCATGCAGAAATCTGTAGTTTTTGGTCCCTGGGTGGGTCTGGTTTGCTAAATGCCCCAGGGACAGATTGAGGAAAGGTCGTAGTGGAGCAGCATGATGGGTCGAGGAAAATGAGCCTGGGAAGCTATGGGTGGATAATCACGGTTATGTGGATTTCAACTAGCTTTTCAACTGAGCTCAAAGGATAGTAATCAAAAGATTGATATCAACAAAGAGAAGGGCCTCGCTGTCTCAGTAAATACATATATATTTTAATGTTTTTATTGACTATAGAGAGAGAGGAAGAGAGAGGGTGATAGTAACATCCATGAGAGAGAAACATCGATCTGCTGCCTCCTGCACCTCCCTACTGGGGACTGAGCCCGCAGCCAGCAACCCCAGTGTGTGCCCTGACTGGGAATCAAACCAGCGACGTCTTGGTGCATGGGTTGACGATTAACCCCTAAACCACACCTGCCAGACTTACTAAATATTTTTTTAAATCAGTGATTTAGATCAGCAATTTTCAACCTTTTTCATCTCATGGCACACATAAACTAATACTAAAATTCTGCAGCACACCAAAAAACATATTATTATTTTATATATATATATATATTATGTTATTTTATTTATTTATTTATTTTTGCTGATCTGACCAAAAAACAGGTATAATTTTGATTCATTCACACTGGACAGCTATTGTTGTGTTGGCTCTTGTCATTTTAAAATTTTACAGTCTCAGGGAAAAGAGGTCAGTGCCTCTGACTAAATAATCAGGTATTGTGTGTTTTCAAAATTCTTGTGACACACCGATTGAACATTGCTGACTAGATGATGATCTAGCTGGGACAGATAATTAACAGAATGGATGATAGAAGCGAGATTTAAAATAATCTTGACAGATTAGAACAAAGTGCCAAAACCAACAAGAAATTTGACAGGGATAAAGTGAAGACTTAAGTTTCGGTTTTTAAAAAATCAATTGTACAGAAAGGAGAGACTGGCTTGACAGCATTTGTCGTGAAAAAGGTTTGGGTCTCACTAAATCCAGTTCCTTGTCACTGTTTCATGAAAAGACAATGTCAGATCAAGAGAGCTCACAGTCTCACCATGTTTTGAACTGACCAGTTGTGACTTCCTGGAAGATATTGATGCATTAGTGTACACCAGTGAGAGATCAGGTTGGGAAAAAGTCCAGTAACTTCAGCAGGTGAGGAAGAACGGGACGAGTTTGGACATGTTAAATATGGGGAAGGGAAGAATAAGGTGCATAAATAATCGTTGTCCTCAAGTAGCTTTTTTGACAAGTCTAAGGCTAACAGTATGAAATTGCCAATGTTGAGCCATTTTGATCCCTAAACTGGCAATTTCGTTTGGTTCGACCTAGTAGAAGAGGATGGAAACTCTTTCTGTAAATGCTGCAGAGACAAATGAGAATCAATGGGTGAAAGAGGGAAGCAACGATTATATCAACATAGGAAGGAGTTTGTCACAATCAGATGCTCTAGAGCAGACTGAGCTGCCTTACAAAGTTCTGGGTTCCTTGTCCCCGAGAGAGCCCAGGCAGAGATGGCCAACAGTCTCTGGAGGATATTTAGAATTTTCTGCATTCGGTGGGAGACTCCATGATCCAGCCTGAGTCTCCAGTCTCTCCAGCTTAACTCCACAATACCAAGACAACACAGCAGGCTGCTGGGAATGCCTTGGCCATTCTGGGTTGTCTTCTACGGCTGTGTCTCTGTGCACATCAATCCTAGAATTTCACATCTCCTAACTATGCACCCTTCAAATTCCTACTCACCTCTGCAGACTCAACTCACGCATAGGCCCATCTGAACTCTCCGAATGGTCTGCCGTACTCTCGCCTATGCGCTTATACCTGCTGCTTACTCTATGGTGTCACTTAACATTCTTCTGTAATTTTTTGTGGACCCGTCTCTCTCCTACTAAGTGTGTGTGAGCTGCTTGTGGGCCAGAAACAGCTCTTCCATCTTTATATCCCCAGTGTTGGAGCAGATTTTGTAGCTTCATATTCTTTTAATAACATTAAGTGAATGCATAATATTAATATTGGATGTTTTGATTATATATGTAAAATTTAAAAAATTATTACCTATGCATTTTAATAAAATATTAGTTATTCAAAATTAATGCCCTTACTATGGGGGATACAGATTGATATTTTCTATTTTATTTTGTTCATTTTTAAAAATAGAAGTCGTAATCTAGGTTCCAAAATTAATGTAGGTTTCCAGCCTTATTCTGAAAAACACTGAACTATATAGTCAAGAGCAGGGATTTGAGCTCTGGCCTGGCAGCTCATTTGATTAGAGTGTCATCCTGATATGCCAAGGTTGCAGGTTCGATCCCTGGTCATGGCACATACAAGAAGCAACCAACGAATGCACAAATAAGTGGAACAACAAATCAATATGCTTCTCTCTCTCTCTCTCTCTCTCTCTCAATCAATCAATCAATTAAAAAATAAAAAGAGCAGGGGTTTGAATGGAAGGTATGAGAACCTAATGGAAGCTGTGGGCCTTCTTGCCAGAAAGATGCATGTGTGCACTACATTGATATTCAATTTCAGAGCTCCTTGTACCCACTAAATCCTTCTGTGCATCCTGGGTTATGAGAGTTTCTTCTAACTTGTATTTTTCTGAGAAGCATGTAGACGTAGGCTAGGAACATCTAAGAGTCACCCATAGAGAGAGCACAAAACTGGAAGGGAGGTGCATAAAGAACAAAGACTAGAGGGACAATGCTGGGGTGGGGCAGGCAGGACAGTTAAGTACATGTGAAAGGCAAAGGGGTGGGGAGCGAAGTAGATCCTGGTTAAGGGTTAGGAGGCAGGAAAGGCGCAGCACCCCTGGGCGCGGAGATTGGGCCTGCTGATCTGATCTTCTTTCCAAACTGTGGGCTTTCTTCTCTCCTCCCTATGGCTCACTTTCCCTTCCTCCCCTCTAGGCAGCCCTGATGGAAACTCTGAAACTTTTCCTCTTTTCTTCCAGATGGGGAGCTCTGGCAGAAAAAGTGTTCTGGCCCGTGTGCAGTGACGCCGTTCTCTCTGCCAAGGGATCAAGTTAAAATCCGCTTTCCTGGAAACCAGCTCATGTCTTTAGGAAGCATGACCCTAATTAGGGAGAGATTGGGACCTTTGGATAAAGAAGGGATAGGAAAATATTTTTCAGCTTTCGCTGATATAGTAACTTACAAGGGTAAAATATGAACACTGCCCTAGCACGTTTAGTTCAGTGGATAGAGCTTTAGCAAGCGGAATAAAGGGTCCCGGGTTCGGTTCCAGCCAAGGGCACATGCGCAGGTTGTGGGCTCGATCCCCAGTAGGGGGTGTGCAGGAGGCAGCCAATCAATGATTCTCTGTCATCATTGATGTTTCTGTCTCCCCTCCTCTCTGAAATCAATAAAGAAATCTATTTTTAAAATAAATAAATATGAGCACCAACAAATAATTTAAAAATGGGATCTCCTGTTTCTGAGATCTAAACTCAGGATCACAGATTTGATAAGGTCTTCCTTGAATCTTAGGTAACCCTAAAGTGTTTTCAACAACATGTTGAGGAGACAACAAACATATATCTCACATTCCACAGGATATATAGGGAAAGAGGCATAAGCATAACACAATTGATTTCCTATTGCCCCTCGGGAATTTGGGGGTTGTGAGAAGTTCTGTAAAATCCAGAAAGCCCAGGACATTATTATAGTCCACTATTAACATGGCTAAGGGGAAAAGAATGAAACTTGGGTGAGGTTAGGAACCTGAGTTATGTGCCTAGATAGGCCCTGACTCACGCTGTGATGATGGCCAGTCACTTCCTGGCTCAGTGTTCCAGTCCCCCTATCCCCCAGCCCCTTTGCCTGCCCAAGTAAAATAAAATAACAATTTTATTCTTTCTTAAGAAAGTTAAACCTGATTGTTTCTATAAAGCACTCTGGAAAATAGCCAGCCTCTGAGTGTAGCAATGTGAGATGATTTTATTCATTTTATAACCAATGTCCTGGGTGATACCTAAACCATGAGGACTATAAACTTCTTTATTTTTGTTGGAATCCTCAGTTGGGGAGGAAATACATAGGTGTTCCGCTTCCTCTTCTGTCTCTTCTGGCTTCTGGGAATGACACTGTTGTGTTGCTAAAAGGTCCCTGGGGAGATATTTGGGAGATAACTGGGTAACACCCAACTAGGTCAGGGAATGAGTCAGGGCTCAAGGACTCCATACCAACCTCTCCCACTCCTGCCAGGAAACCTCCTGGGGTGAGACAGAGATGAGAAGGGAGCCAAGGGGCGGGCCTCAGGGCTGCCTGCCCTGGGGCCTCTGGCTGGCTATTTCACCCTAGTTTGCCCTGCAGCTGGACTGCGTCTGCTGACGTGCAAGCCGTGACACACTCTTGCTGACGTGCAAGCCGTGACACACTCCCCCTCCCTCTCTCCTGAACCTCTGCTCAGTCCCAGAAACAGATGGCCCATCCCTCCCCAGAAGTGACTACAGGAGAGATGAGAAGGAAAGGGAAGAACCGAACCAGGTGGAGATCTATCCCTTCAGAAACACAGGGCAAAATACAAGAGGCATTTGTCTAGGAGGTGAAGAGGAAGCAGAAACTGCATTCTCCTCTGACGAATCAGGACAAGAACAGAAGAGCATCGTGGCCGGGCTGACACAGATGATAGAACAGGATTGAGAGCTAAGGCTGAGAAGGACCAAGTAATATTAGCCTGAAATCCTGTAAGACTCAAGAGCAAAATGGCAATAAATAAATAAATAAATAGTCACAATTCTTGTTTGGAGGTCCTCAGCTCTTGCAAATCCCTCTCTCTTTCATCACCATCAATCCCAGTTGGTGGCAATTCTTAGACCTCTCCTCCAGGACAAAAAACAAAACCATTTTAGGCACCTAATGTCTCCCAGTCACGTTTCCATAAATGATTTCACGTAGTAGTGCTCACAACAGCCTTACCAGGCAAGTTTTATTATCATCGCCATTTCACAGAGGGGTACACTGAGACTTTAATCACTTAGAGGATTAAAGTGATTTGTTCATAGAGTTTGGAAGTCGTGGGGTCTGTACCAGTTACCAGAGTCGCCAGAGATTCCATTATACCAAATTGCCTTTGATATAAAGTCAAATCAAGTCAAAAATAGTAGAGATTTCTTAAAGCTCCCAAGAAGCAGTAAGGAGCGGACCAAGTAAAGAGCAATGGGCAGAGATCTCTAACTCTCTAAAGGTAGGTATTTTAAATCCTGGAATTGTTGGGTTTGCATAGGGCTCCCTGCAGTCTGAGATCCCCGTGCAGCCTTGGTACCCTCTAGTGGAAGTTTTCTGCATTCACACAGCTTCCCTTCAACCCCAAAGAGCTAGAGAGCATCCCAAAAGAATGGTCAGCTGGAAGGTACATGTTTATAATTCAGAGTCCATGGCTGGTAAACAGAAGAATACAGACTAAAGGTATGCTAAGCACTTGGTTCACAAGGGGCCCCAAAGGGAGTCCTTGCCAGTGTATTATAAATGAGCTCAGGCCTTTGTGCATTATTAATAAGAGCTAAATACACATCACAGGAGCCTGGAGGCTTTTAGGGCTCTAGAGAGTGACTTTTTTTAAAAATGAGGAAAATTAGTGGTCAGAGATGTGAAGTGACTTTCTTTAAGGCAGGGTCAGTCAATGTCAGCAATGGTGGGATTCGAACCCATGTCTCCTGCCTCCCAACCCGGAGCCCTTCTCACTGCATCACACTTTTATATTTATTGACTTTAGACATAAATTGATGTGCATATAAGGACATGGGCTTGTAGGTATAATCAGCAAGTTGTTTTTCCTTCGTCTGCCCAGAATCTATACACTTTCCAATTTTTTGTTCAACATGTTTATAGAATGCCTATTATTGCCAAACACTACTCTAGGAATTGCTTTTACAGGGTACCCCAGCATATGGCAACAGTTCCCAGGCTCCTGAACCCCGCGTCTACAGCCCTCCTGACACTCCTAGAGCTTCTTCCCCATTTCCCAGTGCTAACGTGTGTTGTCAGATTTCTTTCTGTCTCCCTCCTCCAGCAGAGGTAATCCCAGGGAGCAGAAGTGGGTTAGAAACAGATTACTCTGATCCAGGGGCTTTGTTCTCTCTTCTCTAAACGTGGCTCGTGTGTGTGTGTGTGTGTGTGTGTGTGTGTGTGTGTGTGTGTTGGGGGGGGGCGGAGGGGAGGAGTAGGAGGGGGAGGAGACGGTGTCACAAATAGCTTGAAATTCCCTTTTAGGATTATTGCTTGATTTAGCCAGCTGGGGCGAAAGTGGAGCAAGAAGAGGCTAGGGATTAATTCTAGACCTAGCTTCAAGAGCGGGCAGCATGGGCTTCTTTTCCGGCTGAGCTGGAATGAGCAGTATCTTTTTCTAAACATACCTTTAGAGATAAGGAGTCTGAGGCAGGCAGAAACGGCAAAGGCAAAAGGCCTTTGCCCTCGGCAGTAGGGCTGAGTGGGCGGACAGATGAGAAAGAACAACAGCTAGGAGAAGAGAGTCGTGCAGCACAGAAATAAAAAATCACTCTGGACTTGGAAACAGACCTGCCTCTAGTGGTCTTAGTTTCAACAGAGGTGAGAACTGCTCCCTAGGGGGCCACAGCTAACACACAGGCTTCCTGGGGATTTCCAGCGCCTATCTGGGTTAGGAGCTGTCTTGCTTTAGGGACATTGCACTGGGGTGGACTCTGGGGGCAGGAATGCTGTTGCCAGCACAAAGAGCAGTTACACGTAGCAGGCCTCTGCTAGGCTCTGTACATCCCTTCCAGGGTCATAGGGCTTGGAAGCAGTGGCCATAAGTAACCAGAATGGGAACATGTATTAACTCATTTAATGATTTAATAACAATTCTATGAGTTAGGTAGGTTTTTACCCCCGTTGTATAGGTGAGGAAAAGAGGTGGAGCTAAGATGTAAACTTAGGCACTGTAGCATTCTCAACCATTATGTGAGAGTCATAGATAGTTAACTCTTGGAGGGACAAAGAAGCTCTGCTAACATTGTTAGCTGAAAATCACTTGAGAACATTTCCTAGAAAGTCAGAATTCTTGGCTTTTCTATGCCACTTTATCTTGGAGAATTCACTTCTGTTCTTCATGCTCTCAGGGAAGGAAGTACAACAGGAATACATGGCAAGCCTGTTGCTTGCATTGTAATCAATAAATACATTGTAATCAGATTCGTTCAGTTCTCCAGAAGGATTTTTCTTCTTTGAATCAACTGTGCTTCTCTTAGAATGCAGGCTACCAGAAAGAACTGCAGGAATTTCGATCTTAGATGCCACCTGCCCCTGGAGATATCCCATTCTTTTTGGCTCCGTTTAGAAATTTCAAAATTTGGAGAAATAAGAAATCAATTTTGCCTTCTGCTTCATCATATTTCGTCTGGGATTCTATTCATTTATTGAATAAATACATGAATGTCTACTATGTGCAAGACTGTCCTTTGCAAGGCTGAGCCCCTAATCACTTTATTCCTCCCTCTAATTGCATGAGTTCCCTTCTCTTGCTTTTTCTGAAATGTGAATTACTAGGGTTACAGAATTAAGAAATATCCCGTGGTGTTACTTTCCCAGTAGGCAGCTCCCAATTTTCCATGGAGTTAATGAGATAGAAAGATACGAATTTTCCAAAAGAGCAGCTAATAGGAAAAGAGAAGCTCATTCATTCATCTCAGAATGAATTAAATGATGTTAACTTCCCTTATTATTTCATTCAGGCTGACATGAAACAAATTCGCATTCCTTGAGAAGCTGATCAGAGGGCAGGCAGAGGATGACCTGTGATGTGTTGGCTACCATGTGAGGCCAACATAAACTCAACAGCGGAGCAGATAATCCCAGACAGATTATATCAATGTTCTGTATTAATCAATAACTACTCAGTGGAGTGGGTTTTTTTCCCACTTCGGTGGTGAGACAAGTAAAATAAAAATTTCATGTTTTATTTTCTGGGGCATAGATTGACAGAAGTCTGTTAAGAAATGACTAGAGCCGAAACCGGTTTGGCTCAGTGAATGGAGCATTGGCCTGCGGACTGAAGGGTCCCGGGTTCGATTCCGGTCAAGGGCATGTACCTGGGTTGCGGGCATATCCCCAGTAGGAGATGTGCAGGAGGCAGCTGATCGATGTTTCTCTCTCATCGATGTTTCTAACTCTCTATCCCTCTCCCTTCCTCTCTGTAAAAAATCAATAAAATATATTAAAACAAAATAAAAAAATAAAAATCTAAAAAAAAAAGAAAAAAGAAAAAAGAAATGACTAGATATCTCTCATTTAACTGCTTAATGATATATGTTCTTTAATTAATACATATGGCAACTAACTTCATGTTGCCATTAATGTGTAATGCTATAGGTTCAGTGCTATGGCTAGGGCTGATAGGGGAAGTCTTACCCTTGATGAATTTGCAGTAGAGTTGAGAAGTCAAGATTTAAGACAATGCATGTGATCCCCAAACCCCAAAGTAATCTCTCTCTTTCCTTTCATAGTCCTTAGCATTTTACCTGGAACTTTGTAGCAATTCTATTCCAGCCAGTAAGCTCTTTATGTACATACCATAGTTTCTGACTCATTGCAAAATACTGTAGGTAAGTGCTCAATAAACACTAATTGTCAGGATAAGATAAGAACCTATGGGTAAGTGGAAAGGGTTTGCCATTTAGCAATGGTTACAGCACTGGATTTTCCAGGATGATGCCAACATCACGCATCCTTAAACAACTGAGTGTGAAGCAGGACAGTCTAGTAATTCATGGGTTCTAGAATTAGACTGCTTGGATTTGAATCTCAGTTCTGCCAGTTATTAGCCATCAAATCTTTTTTTAAATTATATTTTTATTGATTTTTTAAAATATATTTTATTGATTTTTTACAGAGAGGAAGGGAGAGGGATAGAGAGTTAGAAACATCGATCAGCTGCCTCCTGCACACTCCCTGTTGTGTATGTGCCCACAACCAAGGTACATGCCCTTGACCGGAATCGAACCTGGGATCCTTGAGTCCGCAGGCCGAGGCTCTATCCACTGAGCCAAACCGGTTAGGGCTATTTTTATTGATTTTAGAGAGGAAGGGAGAGGGAGAGATAGAAACATCAATGATGAGAGAGAATCATTGATTGGCTACCTCCTGCCCGTCCCACATTGGGGATGGAGACCCAGGCATGAGCCCTTGACCAGAATCGAACCCGGGACCCTTCAGTTGGCAGGCTGATGCTGTATCCACTGAGCCAAACCAGTCAGGGCTAGCATCCAATCTTAATTAAAATTTGTAATTTCTCTGCGACCCAACTGCCTTTGTAAAAGGAGAATATTACTCTTGTTTGTGGTGAGAAGTAATTTAATTCATACATGTAAATGCTTAGAAAATTGCTTGGCACCCGGTAAACATTTCTAAGTGTAAACTATTATTTGTTCATGTTAACCCCATACCTCTGTCCCAAAATGACAGATAAGAAATGTTTTTGTCGTCCACGTGTCTTTTGCTTCAATAAACGCAATAGCCAGTATATTTGTTCAATAAACATACAAGTCATCTGACATTAAGAAAAAATTTTCAGGCTGCAGCTCCCGGACCAACAGCCAAACCATCAGGAGCAGGAGCGGCAGCGGCGGCGGTGGCAGCGGCCTCCCCCACCCCCATCCCCACAGCCACCTCCCCGTCCGCGGGAGCGGGGGGGGGGGGGGGGGGGGGCGGGGGAGGCGGCGGCGGCGGCGGCGGCGGCGGCGACGGCTGGACGAAACAGGTCACCTGCAGGTATTTCATGCACGGGGTTTGTAAGGAAGGAGATAACTGTCGCTACTCGCATGACCTCTCTGACAGTCCATACGGTGTGCTGTGCAAGTATTTTCAGCGAGGGTACTGTATTTACGGAGACCGCTGCAGATACGAACATAGCAAACCATTGAAACAGGAAGAAGCAACTGCTACAGATCTAACTGCAAAACCATCCCTTGCTGCTTCCTCAAGTCTCTCACCAGTAGTTGGACCGATTGTTGAAATGAGTACAGGCGAGGCTGAGTCAAATTCAAACTTTGCAACTGTAGGAGCAGGTTCAGAAGACTGGGTGAATGCCATTGAGTTTGTTCCTGGGCAGCCCTACTGTGGCCGTACTGCCCCTTCTTGCACTGAAGCACCCCTGCAGGGCTCAGGGACCAAGGAAGAGCCAGAGAAGGAGCCAGCGGCCGT